CTTCTTGCCTTTGAACCACACCTTTTTAAGATGCCTTATATCCTTGAGACACTTCAGTGGCCAATTTTGTGGCATCTGCATGGAACCAAAACATACATAATATACATACTCACATAGAGATATATTTTAAGCCAGTTTCACTTCTTTCACTTTGTGCTACTCTGGATTCATACTGACTTTGTGCTCCAATGTATTAAGCTTATCAAGTTTCCAGTAAGGTGATGGAGCAAAGGTTGAGAATGTTACAATCAACAGAACGACTTCTATTGGAAACACTTTTTAGGGCTGTTTTGAGGGCTCTGGGACTATTAGACCACTACTCGTAGACTAAAGTTTATGTAACACTACATAAGAAGAACCAGTATTCTCAATAAAAAGCCATCCTAATGAATAAAGCTCAAGTTTCTTGCACCACAAAGCATTTCCATAAGAAGCCTAGAATTGAGATAAAGCTTCTTAAATCTCTACTGAAATAAAACTGAAACATATATTTCATTTTAGGGAAGCGTGTCCTCAGGTTTTATCATTAAATTACAGCTGCCTATGTTGGTATTTATAATGCTCTATGGATGACTGAAAATGAATCAATAACACATGGAGAGAAATAAAATTTCACTAACAGGATCTGGAATTAATTCCCTCTCCTCCACCTGGCTTAACTTACAAGGTAATACACAGTCCTCAAGGAAAATAATTAGCATATTGCATGGCAAAAGGCCTAGTCTCCAACTTGGAACTAGGAAGACATAAATACACTTGCACAAAATACTTAGTATATGTTAAACAATTGTTTTGAGACACATGATATAAATTCTAAACACCTGCTGACCAACTAAACCATTTGCTACATGTATGGGAACTGCTGAATCACTGCCTGAACCTCTGATTGATTACCTGAGGTGAGCAATGAGTCAGCCACAGGAGCACAGATGAAGGCAATCCACCTGTGCTGCCGGAAGGAGTGGAGCCTGGCTGCACCTCTTCTAGACCCACTTAAGAGTTGACTACCAGTAAGGAAGAATCTCTTCTGGAGATCTCTCCTCTGGAGTTTTGCAGTGAGCCCAGGATGTGGGTAAGCATTCTATCTAGTCTCTTTTTGTTATTATAACCTGCTTAGCTAAACTCTTGTTTATTTCATAATTACAACATCTGTATATTCATTGATGATACACTACATGACTATGAACCAGGCAGACAACAGCAAATGCTTGTATTAATATGAAAACAGCTCTTACCATTTTCTCCAACAAAGGCCACTTCTGCTATTATAACAACATGGTACTGTGCTGTTCAGCCTGATCAGCAGACCAAATGCTCCAGCTCCTTTCAGTAATTCAGCAACAAAATACTCAGCCACCACAGTGGTCTCATGGTGCTTGTTGCCAGCTACAGAAGGACCTAGAGAAGGCAGAACAACAAGACAGTACAGAAAGTAGAACTTTGTTACATGTGCTCATTAAAGAAGGAGCTGCTCAAACTGAAATAACCCAAGAACCCGAGTACACTCATACAGTTAGTAACCATAATGATCCAAGAGACAGTTGCAGCTTCATGTACATTTCAAGCCTGTTGAGAAGAGGCAGAAGTTTCTAATATCAAAATGCTAGATCTAACCTTCAAACCAGTGACTATTTTTGTTATTGTATAATAGAAAACGATTTTGAAACTGTGTTGTTTAATTACAAGATTAAAGAGTTGATTATAGTTCAAATGTTCTCTTTAGTTCATCAAAGGTTTGAGTAATAGCAAGAAGGTACAGAAGGAATAACGAGAGGCTGTCTGTCTCAACTGTGCTCTTTCCTAAGACAAACTAAATCTTGAGTTATGCAAGCTGAACAAAATACATCTCAGTAAATATATTTCAAACCTTCTCCCACTTCAGTTCCCTTGGAAGGAGTAATACTATGTTTTTTCACACACTGGTGTTCATAAAATCCTTCAAAGATTTACAAACAGTTATCCTCATGGCCGGGAGTGCTGTCATGCTCAGTGCCTGCTGGAGGGCAAGCTACATGAGTCATCTGCAGGGGCCAGCCTGTTTGGCCTTGCTGGGCTGCAGGTGGCTACTTCGGTACTTCATGGATCCAGAGGAAGCTTGGGCACACACATGCTCAAACACAAAATGACACTGAAGAACCCAAAGCATTTTTCTCTCAAGCTTGCGCTTTTAAAGCTAGTCGTAAGATCTCTGGTAATATGAGACCACCTCTTAAAGGAAACCAAATTGAGATGTTATAAGGAACAAGCAGGAAATAGGTAAAGAAATAAGTAAAGAATAGCAAAGCAATATGGACAAAGCCAGGAACTACAAACTCGAGGAAGCAGCTCATTGCAGTCCAATCATCAACCTGCTCCCATGATGCCCACTAATCACGTTCCTCAGTGCCACATCTCCATGTTTCTTGAACGCCTCCAGGGATGGTGACCCCACCACCTCTCTGGACAGCCTGTGCCAGTGCATCATCACTCTTTCTGAGAAGAAACGTTTCCTATATCTGACCCAAACTTCCCCTGGCACAACTTAAGGCTATTACCTCTTGTCCCATCGCTATCTACACGAGAGAAGAGGCTGACCCCTGCCTCACTGCCACCTCCCTTCAGGCAGTTGAAGAGAGTGACAAGGTTTTCTGAGCCTCCTCTTCACCAGACTGAGCAATCCCCGTTCCCACAGCCACTCCCCATAAGACCCATGTTCCAGGCCCTTCACAGCTTTGTTACCCTTCTCTGGACACGTTCCAGGATCTCACTGTCTGCCTTACCCTGAGGGGCTCAAAACTAAATACATACTTGAAGTAAGGCCTTACCAGTGCCACGTACATGGGGATAATCACCTCCCTGCTTCTGGTGGCTGCATTATTTCTGATACAAGCCAGGATGCCATTGGCCAACTAATATCCCCAGATTCTTTTCCTTTGTGCAGCTTTCCAGCCAAAATGAAGATATGGTAAAGCAGAATATACCTATAGCACTATATGAAAATCAGAAAATGAACCATCTGCCAAATGAGTTCATAGAATGAGCTGCATGTGCGTTAGACATAATGACACCTGAAGGCCACTGGCTGCAGTGAGGGAACTTCTATATGGAGTCACATGAAAGGCAGCGAGAAATACCTCAACAGCAATGCAAATGATGGGGAAAGGGGTTCATGCAGCACCTACCAAAGAGATAACTCAAGAAATGCACCAATTTCTGCAAGGGCACTTCTGTCAATGAGCTCCAGACTAGCCCTGCAAGAAGGACCTTCCCTGAAGCAGGGCCAGAAAGTCTGTACGAAGTAAATCCAGGCACTAAGGGGACACAGAGGTGGCTTTGTTAATTTTCCTGGCAAAGGTGAGACTACAGAGCTGCTAAAGCCTGGCTTGGTTTGCTGCTGCTCGATGTGTTCAGAGTGCTGGGCTGAATCCCAGCAGTGCTAATTGTGTCTCTAATTACTTCTGATAGCAAAGCAAAGCTAACTGACACAAACTGTATTGTAGGGCATCTTCCTGTCACTCAGATGAGCAGACTGTCCACAACTTTTGAATCCTGTCCCATATACAGGGAGCATGTGTTTCCCAGGATAAGGGGAAGAGTTCTACTATGTCATTTACAAAAACCATAGGCCCCTGGAGAGCAGTAACCTTGCTCCACAACTTACAGGCAATTTTACAAGAAACGACCAAATTTCAGAGGCAGTAAGTTAACAGATTTTGCAACAGATAATTCTGTTGTAACTGGCTATCCTTGCACAAACCACTTAAGGAAAGCGTATTGGTTGAAAGCCATAAAGTGCATATACATAGATGGAGTGTCATCATAGAATCATGCAAAAGCAGGCTGGGTTATGCCGTGCTAACGTTTTCTTTATCACTGTTTGTATGAGGCTAAGAGCACGTGTTAGATTGTGTTTTAGTTTGCTCTTTTCATATGTTGGTGGTAGACCTCTGAGATGCTAGGTTAAGTTATGCTGCATATGCAGTACAATAAAAACAGCTTTAGAAATCCAGTACTCAAAGAAAACGAAAATGTTGCTTGTTATGTGTTCTTTATTATGTCTCACCTTAGCAGGGTGGTTTTTTGTTGTTGTTGTTGCTTTTAATACAGATAGTCTCCAACCTTTCTAGGACTGTATCTTGCAAAATTGTCTGAGATCTTCAATTTACCTTCTCAGCTACTTATAAAAAACAACTGTCAGGTTTGCCCTAGAAGCAAATTTTTCCTTTCTTTCTCAATTGTTCTCAGTCCTCTCCTGATAAAAAAAAATACGACTTGGGAATTAGTTTACATAGAAGATACGTTTAAAAATAACCTTTAACAGAGCCTACAGGAGCTTGTTGGTTTTGCTTGGCAAACAATTTCCAATTCAAAGTTGCATGATCTTACACCATTAAAACAGAGCAACTCTTGCAACATGGCCGGCATCCAAATAAAAATCAAGTAACATTTATTACCAATATGACATAACTTCTGTTTAAAGAGAGAAGGGATTTCAAACAGCTTAGCTGAAGCAGCAGGATCTACACAGAAGGATTTTATACAGAACTGCCTGCACTATACAGCATTCTTTTCTTCAGATGAAAAACAAACCTTTCTGTTTGATAGTTACCAACTACTTCCAAGATAGTTTTCCTTTTATTTCAGCGTAAGACAGACAATTCTCATTGCAGATCAGAAGATTCCTGCCTGAGTCTAAAGGGAAGCTCATGGCAATTTTTGTTAGCAAAACGCACAAGTTGCCATGCTGCAATTCTGGAACACGATAATGTGATTGGCACGACTGGCATTTCATGTTTTGACCACAAAGTCAAATAAAGTAGCCCGAACAATAACTTCCAACAGAGTAAGGTTCCGAACACAGACAGCATTACCCGCAGCTGCATGAGCGCTGTACCCGCAGTGAGGAAGAGCCGAAGTGACACGAGGCCGGCAGTTCGCCAAGCGGAGCGCCTTGGCCTCGGTGCTCCCTGCAGGCAGCGATCAGACCGCCTGCACGCAGCGCACCGCAGCGCAGCCTCCGGGACCGTGGGAGCAGCAGAACCGCAACCACGCGAGGATCGACGAAAGCGGACTTACAGACATCCTGACAGGCCTAGGGACGCGCGGTAAGAGAAGGGGAGACGAGGGACCCAGGCGATATGCCGTGCAGCGGGAGTCCCGCTGCCCCTAGGCGTTCTGCGCGGGTATGACAAAAAAAAAAAAACAACCAAACTCTGCGTGAACAGCTGCGCAGCCCAGCGCCATCCTGGAGCCGGACGGCTCTCACGAGGAGCCCTCCTACGGAATCGGCACGACCGAACCACCGCATACCCCTACGACTACATCTCCCGTCGGGCACTTCGCCAAGGCACCGCCAGCGCCGACAGCCAATCCCAGCTCGAACCCAGAATGCGTCGCGGCTCCGCGCACTGCCATTGGCTGAATTTGAAAACAACGCGCGAACGTTAGCGGGCGTGCTCTTTGGACGGCGGTGGCGCTGCGCGCAGGTGGGCGGCGCAGTGGGGCGCTCGGCACGGGCTCTGAGGGTGCGGATGGCCAGCGCGGTGCGGGCACGGGCCTCCGCGGGCCGTGGGACTGAAGCGAGGGGCGGTGGCGGACCGATCGGCGGGTACTGCTGTCTCCTCCCGTGCCATGAAGGTCCTGATGGCGGGTGAAGGCTTGCCGGAGAGGGTGTGGCTGAGGTCTCCTCCAGCCCCATGCGGCTGCCCTTGCATCCACTGGCAGCCCCTCCTGGCGCGGACAGGCCGACGGGAGAGCACTTCTTCCGCGGTGGTATCTACGATTTCCGCCTCGGGACGTCCGAGGTGTCCGCAGCGCTGTCGTGCCTGACGAGCAGCTGGGCGATCGGCATTTCGCAGCGTTACCGATGTCAGCGTAACTCTCACATGTAGGGCTACTGTTCCAGCTCTGCGTGCGGCGCACCGCTTGCTTCTCCTTCTCAAACGAGAAATCACAGCACGAGAGCAGGATCCTGCTAAATGCCGCTTTGCGAGCAGCCATCGCTGAACGTAAAGCGGCGGTTATGAGACGTGCGGCCCCTTTGGCGGCGTCGGCGGTTTGCGGTTGCCTAGCGACCTGCGGGAGCGACCGTGCTCGGCGCGTCCTGCTTAAGACGGCGTTTACTGAAGCTCGGGCGGTATTTCAGGGCGGGCTTTCCCCTGTTTGAAAGCTGTAGGGAGAGAGAAGAGAACGCCTGGCCCGTTCTCTTCAGCATGACTTTCGGCGATGGCTGCCTAGCCCTGTCCGACTCGGTAGCTGCGTTTTGCTGGTCGGGTAGGAGGGCTGAGCTGTGTGTTGCTCCATCCCGGCTTTTTGTGCTGCTCGCGCAGATCAAAAACGTGACTGCGTGAGAGGCAGCGCTGTCAGCGAGCGAAGGGCCGTGCCCCAGCGCTGGTCCCATCGGCCGCTTTAACCGCTGAAGTTCATCAAACGTTTCCTATTCCCTATTAGCACTTACGGACACTGTATGTGCGCTGCTGGAGCTTGGCGTGAGGGTGTAGGGTTGTAAGGCGGCTGAATTGCTGTCCAAGCTGTAGGAAGCCGGGCAGCACCAAGTGTTAGAGTGCTTTTTGCCGTGATAGATGAGTGATATCCTGACAAGCTATTTCAGAGGGCAAATATAAACTGCAAAGATGGCACCTGTAGTATCAGAGGAAGAAGTAACAGGAGAATGAAGTGTGGGCAAAATACACGGGTATTTGTATGTCAGATGTGCATCTTAAGGGTTATTTGGGTGTCCTGTCACGCTGAATCAATTACACTTTCCTTTTCTGTAGCAGATCACTGCTGAGACTGAGATGCACTGAAGGAGTTAAATTGCGGATTTAAAAGCCAGCAGTTGTACTCTGGCATGAGGTTTTCTGATGTTTAGTATTCTCTTAATACCAAAGCTACCTGTTAGACTTCACAGTGCCTCTGAGTCCTGCCTTGTGTACAACTGCATCGGGTTATCCTTTTTCATACCAACAATTGATTAGGTGCCACAGGGATAAGCCATTGCAATGTTCTATTGTGATAAGCTTTTATTCCAAAAGGAGACTCGAACTGCAAAATGAGATGACGGGAAAGGTTATGTGGAGCGGGCCTGCTTTTACTAAATGGTATCTGTGACTATTTCCATCAGCCATCATGGCTCTAGCAAGGCTGTGCTACATGCAAAAGGCTTTTTCCCGATGGGCGGTTGTGGTGTGATTTAGTCTGACAGGCAGCTCAGCACCACAGGGTTTGCTCCTTGTAGGGAGATGGAGGGGAGAATAGGAAGAAGCAAGAGTCAGTCCACACACACAAAGCAAACTGCAGATATCACTTAGTCTCATATTTCCTAACTGAGCTTAGGAAATCTGCATCGTGCGTTGAAAGAGCAAAGAATAATTTCTTTTTGTATCATCTTGCAGAATGGAAACAAATTCAGAAGAAGATAACATTTTGAGGCCATCCTATGTAGCTGGCATAGAGCTTCCAGAAAGAACAGGACTGGTAAATGTGGAAGACATAAAAACAAATCTCTCTGATGAGTTTAGTTCAGTTTCTTCAAGCTCAGACATGAGCCGGGTAAGAAAGCTTCAATATTAAAATTAATTGGATCTTGTAAAAGAAACTTCATTCTTTTCTTGGTAAGAAGAATTAGAATCTTAAAGAAGAGATGACAGTCATCTGTGCCTTTAGACTGTGCATAGACACGTGTGTGTGTGTTGCTTTGATACCTTGTGAGGTGCCCCAGTCTCAGTGGGTGAAGCTGACGTCACTTCAGAGAAGCAGAGTGATGGAAGACTTGTGCTTATAGTTGGCCTGAATGCAGTACATGAGTGTACTGCAGTATTATTTGTTTTGAAACTCTAGGCTCTCACAAGGAAGTTTAGCAGGGGCCAAAGCACTTGTGAAAACAGAGTGAAATATTCGTGCTTCCCGTGTCATCAAATGAGTCTGTTACAACAGGCTGATGACAAGAATGCTGTGTAAATGTGCTAATCATCAAAGAGAGGATCTAGTCAGATTTGTAACTTCCAGCTCTTTCCATTTTAGAGGTCTAGTTTGGAGCCTAGGGGACACATACAAGTTTGCCTGCGCATTAAGCCCTTCACAGCACTGGAAAGAGCAAATGGATCACAGGTAGGACATTTACTTAATCTTAACACTAAAAACAAACAAACAAAAAAGCGAACTACCAAACAAAAGAAAACAAAGCACCCTTAATGTATACTTGTTTTCTTTTCCCCTTATGATGATCTTTTAAAACACTTTTGATGCCTGCATTACTTGTGCTTCCCTTTAATAGGGGTGTGTTTCACTTGAGGACTCAACAAGCGTTATACTGAAACCCCCTAAGAGCTCCTGGAGTCGACTGACTGACAAAACTGCAGGACAGGCGATACAGAAATTCACCTTTTCACGAGTAAATGAATTTTCTTTAAATGCCTCTAAGTTATGCGTGGAAGATGTTGCTTGTCTTCTGTTACTTAATATAAAACAAACAAGCTTCTCTTAAGAATTCTCTGTATGATTATAAGCGTGTATCTGACTCCTACAAGTATGTAAGGATTGCTTAAACAATCTAAAGAGATTAACCAGCTTCTTGGTAACGTTCAGGTGTTTGGACCTGAAGCAACTCAAGAAGAATTCTTTGAAGGTACAGTGAAGCAGCCAGTGCTAGACTTCCTAGAAGGATGTAATCGCCTTGTTTTTACGTATGGCATTACAAATGCTGGGAAAACCTACACATTCCAAGGTAAGAGTAGAATTTTTTTTTTTTCCCTTGAATTAGTTTCTTAAAGCAGGATTTACTTCAGATTATTTCAGAGAGGGGAGGAAGCCTGGAAAACAGTTAAAAGCTTGCATATTTGTTAAATGTGGGATTTTGCTGCGTTTTCTTTTCCCCCTTCTCTTATGGCTAAGCTGATGCAGAACATCCTGGCTGTTTTCAAGTGATGCCCTGTAATGTCTAAGGAATGGGTTGTGTTTCACTAGTAACACTGCAAACGCTGCTTCAGACTGTAACTGGCCTCTAAATTCTTTGTGCGTGCCTTGAGATTCAAATCAGTTATCTTCGTCTTCGTTTACTTTGTACGTTGCTCATGATAATTACTGGGGCCTTTCTTTTGCTTACAGGGACAGAAGATGATGTTGGTATTTTGCCAAGGACGATGGATATGTTGTTTAAAACTATTGGAGGAAGGCTATACACAAAAATGGATCTGAAACCTATTCGGTGGCGAGATTACCTAAAACTGACTAAAGACCAAGTGAGAGAAGAAACTGCTCTTAAAAATTCCTTGCTTCGTCTGACAAAAGAGGTAGGAGACTACTTCATAAAGAAACGATGAGTACATGCGTCTTGAGAGAGCTCAGTGTGATGCTGTGCATTGTGTGATGAAATAGGCTTGTGTGTTCTCACGTAGTTGTTTATTCATCTTTCTGTTCCTGTCGAAAAAGAATGAAGCATCTTCTTAGTGGCATGCCACACCATAGTGGGGTATTTCAGTTGTGGAGTTAGATTGATCTTATTGAGGAGTTAGTTAAGTGTGCGTCAAAGGCAGGTGGCAGTCAGACTCTTTCTGAATAACTTTGAGAGCCCAGGCACGTGTTAAGTCTGGCTGCAATGATCTGTAAGTATGGCGGGGGGAAACAACACCTGTCTTCTACATGTGCATGAACCAAAGCTGTGTAAAACTGTTCCAGGTTTAGTGAGGATGTGGAAAGAAA